GGGCCACAGCTCTCAAAATACAATCTGTTTGATCATAAAATTTGCAGTTTTATGAATTATAATGTTAGATATTATTTTTCACAAAAAGCTGAGCACACTCTATGTAATACTTTTGAAGTGGATCTGCTTGATCCTCACTTTTTTTTTTTTTTGAACTGGAGATTGAACTCAGGCCCTTGCACTTGCCAGGGAAGAGCTTATTCCACTGAGCCACCTCCCCGGCCCTGATCCTCACTTCTATCACAAGCTGGCAAGTTTCAGATGTGTGAGAAGATTGTGTGGAGATCAACCATGCAGCATTTTCCATCCTAACTTACATGGATTTCAGTGTTGCTTACTAAAAAGTCATTCAGTGGAACATGAATAGGGCAGTGACATGGGAGTGAGGGGTCCAGAAAGAGAATTACTTTCCTGGGGTCTTTGAATTTTGTGGTAAATAGATTCACCCCCCCCCAACTTGTATGTGTTAGATCCAGGAAAAGTCCAGCTGCAGTATGCGGGGAGCTGGAGTGAGATTTCTACCTCAGTCACAGCACGTAGCAAGAACCCAGAGCAAGATATCATAGAATTTATTGCTTTTGGTTGTGTCTTCCTTTTGTTTGAGATAAGGTCTTGCCACATATTTTTGGCGAGGCTGTCCTTGAAATTACTATGTATCTCAGGCTGGACTTGAACACAGTGACCCTGCTGCCTCATGTAGTGGGCTGGCCACCGTGCCTGCTGACATTGGCAAATTTCCAGAGGCAGCACCAGGGTTTACCTAAATCAGTTCTGGCGAGAACCACACAGGTCATGACCTACTAAGGGAAACTCTTAAAAAGTCATCAGGACTTCCAGGTGAGGAAGTAAACAGGTTAAAATTCTGCCAAATTCCCTACAATTCCCAGAGGCTAGGCATCAGAGAAGAATGTGGGGAGAAGTCATTACAATGTAGCTCTCCCAACTCTCCCCTACCTGTACCTCCCAGGGACTTTCATGCCCTCCTCTTCTCCATCCCTTACCCTGCCCAGGTTTGCTCTGCCCTCAGCCTCTCACCTTCCACTTGCACCTCTCAATCCCAAAGACTTTGAGTCTTAGTTGTCCCCTGGTGGACAGTGAGTGTAGGTGACAGAGAAGGGACATGACTGAGAAAAGATCTGTGATGACTGGACTATAGCTGGATGGAGGGTTCCATTGGGACTAAGAAATTTAGGTGTCAGAGCAGAGGTGGCTAATGCACTTTGTAGCCAATCCAATAGGATCAGATTATCCTAGGGTAGGAGATAGAGTGGACAGGAACAGTGGAGGCAAACCCTCCCAAGCTGAGATAGAGAAACAGGAAAGGCAACAGAGAGCAAAGAGACTTGCAGAATCATAGATACTTAGAATTCTGTGTACCAAATTCTCAAGCCAAGCTAAAAGTCACAGTAGAACCTCCTTTAAAAAATGAATCTTGGACAAGCTTGGTGTCACATGTCTGTAATTCCTATACTCAGAAGACTGAAGCAGGAGGATAGTTAGAGTTTGAGACTAACCTGCTGTTATGGTTTGTATCTAGATGTCGCCCCAAAGTCTCATGTAGTTACTGGAGTGGGCTTCTAGGCTTTCTGATTAATTCAAGATCCAATGCTGGGATTATGGGTGTGAGTGCTACAGCCAGCCTGGGGCAGATAGTCTGAGTGAAATTTAAGTAATGGAGAGAGGCTTGCTCTCTGCCTCTGATAATCTGCCACTGCTCTTCCTTTTTGGCTCTTGCTATTTTGCACTGCCGTGAACTGCTGCCTTCTTCCATGAACCACTCTGCCTTTGAGCCACCAGAGTATGGACTGAAGCCTCCACAAACTGTGAGCTAAATAAACCTCTCCTTACTTAATTTTGGGTGCCAGGTCTTTTGTCCCAGCAATGGAGAAAAGTAACTAGGATGGCTACAACATAAACTCAAGTCCAACCTGAACTTCAGAGTAAGACCTTGTCTCAAAAAGACCAAAAAAATTAAATT